CAAAAAAAAAAAAAAAAAAAAAAAACAGTGAGTGGCTCAAAGAAAATGCAAGCACTTGGTTTAAGCTTCTTAGTCATCTCTTCTTTTGAGACAAGGTGTCACTCTTTGTAGTGCAGGCTGGCCTTAAACTCATTATGCAGCCCAGACTAGCCTTGAACTTGTGGCAATTCTCCTGCCTCATCTTCCCAAGAGTGCTGAGATCACTCACACAGGAGTGCGCTACCATATCCCATCCTGATCAATTTTCAGTCCTCCCAATTTAAGAGTGGGTACAATTGTCATCACTATTTTACAGATGAGCTGAAGTTCAAGATAATGGTAAGTACTTTGCTCAAGATCACACACAGAAAAATCAGCAAAACTAAACACCAACCAAAGAAAGCTTTATCCTAGCTCAGAACACCCTGAGATGCATGACGGGTAAGTACCGCCTTTTACAGATGAGAGGTGACAACATTGCTTAAACTACTCTTCTGCCTCCAACTGCAGCACTCCTTGAATAACAATGCCTGTGGTAAAAAGACATGGAATACAAGAAAAAATATTTCACCTGCCAATCCAGGCCTCCAAACCTCCACATTCAAGCACTCTGCCAGAAAACTATATACTATACTCAGCCAAAAGTGGGATATCGAGGCCAGGGATGCAGCTCAGTGGTGCTGCACCTGCCTGGCAAGTTCAAGGTCCTCAGTTAGATTCCCGGTATCAATCAATCAATCAATAAATAAATGTGGGACATCTTTCCACAAACCTTATCTGAATTCCCTTCAAAATCCAAAAAGCTTTATGAAGTTGGAGACTTCGGTTGGGCCAATCCTGAAGAGAAATGTTACCATTCTTAGTGATGACTAAGAGGAAAATTAAGGAAGAATTTTAAACCTAAGTGAGACCTTCCTAGGGTGTGGCTGTAACTGCTTGACTGACTAAACACTGATAAGCATGTTATTAGTATATTTTAGGGAATTAATAGGAGGGGCCAGCTGGTGAGAAAGGTAGCCTTCTAGTTCATTTCTCTAAGGAAGATTTAGCCAATCAGTCAATTCTATCTCCAGCCCCAACCTCTGTTCCTTCCCCTGTAAGATAAGCTCTAAGAAAATGCACCCCAGGAATGGCTTTGCTACCTGACTGCATGTCCAAGGTGGCCTGAAGTTTAGGGGGGCAGTAGATAGCATTTGCTGTGGTTCGAGCAGAGGTTAAGGCAGCTCGGGCTTTCGGCAGATTGCTCAGGGCATGGTATGTTTTGCTTTCCAAGAGCTGTACTTCCACCAAAAGAGCTTTGTCATCCATCTTTTTCAACTCTCTCAATAGCTGAGAACCTGGAAAAGATACATGTTCCTTTGTTAGTCATAATCTTATTACTGTAAAATCTCACTCTCCCATCCTCCTAACATTCAGGATAAAGAAACCTGTCTGCACTCAAAAAGGTTACCTTTAGAGCCCATACAAGAATTAAGTTTTCCTCTGTGTTAGCTTCCAAAAAAAAAAAAAAAAAAGAAAAACACCTATCTTTAAGCTTTTCTGCTTCCTAATGATAAAAGGAGAGCCAAGAGCCCTATAAACTCACTCCTGAAATATAAACACAATGGGAACCTAGACCCACAAAAAGCTAAACATAGTCACTCAGTTCAGATAGGGTCTGACTTTTCTCTCTCCCTGTCAGCAATCCTAAGAAATATCAAGCACTACTGCTAGTAGGGAAGTAAAGAGTTAAGACAGGTTGGTGTTCTCTAAATACACCTTCTTCCCCCATCTCAGAGGAGAACATCAAAGTGAAATGGATTTACACCACATAAAAATCCTCAAGGCCAGGGATTTAGCTTAGTGGTTCCACAGCCTGCCTCACAAACCCAAGGACCCAAGTTTGATCCCCGGTACCAAAAAAAAATAAAATAAAAAATAGCCAGACGTGTTGGCACATGCCTATAATCCCAGTACACTGGAGGCTGAGGCAGGAGGATCACTGTGAGTTCGAGACCAGCCTGGGCTACACAGTGAGCTCCAGGTCAGTCTCAACTACATAGTGAGACCCTATCTCAAAACCTCCCCTCCACAAAGAAAGAACGTGGCGGGGGGAGGGAGAGGAGGAGGAGGGAAAACAAAGGACAGAACAAGGGGATGCAACACAGGCAGGCCAGAGCTGCTGCCATCACCGTGACCCACGGTAATCAGAGTGAGCTCACCCACCAGAAAAGTATGAAGAGCAGAGCGACTCAGTTAAGGGGAAGGACTGAAAGGATGGGTTTTCTGCTGCTGCCTATAAGCAGAGGGACTCTGGAGATCATGCAGCAAAGCAGGAAAGGCAAAGGAGGAACCCACGTAGCTTTGCAGCTGCACAGCCAATCCTCTTGCCCTTCGCCTGTGCTCCTGGGGCCAGTCCCACCATGCTCGTCTCCGCCTGTACAGTGCTCCCAAGCGCCAGCACCAATGGCACTCCCTTAGTTAGCCCTGAATCTGCAGCAGGTCGCTGTTGTGCTTTCTTTCCCTCAGCCCCTCTCCCCTTGGGCCACTCCTAGGGGAGAGGAGGTGACACCTTCCCAGTGGGTTTTTTTTTTTTGGGGGGGGTTCCCAGTGTTTTTTATTCCTGTGGGGCAAACCCCAAAGTATTCAAAGTAGCTCTGGGCTAGGGATTTGGCTCAGTGCTTCCGCCCACCTGCCTTGCAAGCACAAGGGCCTGAGTTCAATCCCCGGTACCCCCCACAAAAAAGTAGCTCTGTAATCCCCCCTCCCAAAAAAAAGACAAAAATTTTAGCTTTCAATAAAATGGATTTTACTGCTCTAAATTCAAGGGAACTGCAAAACTCATCCTTTTGTTCTCTAAATTTAACAGATTAACTGTAGATGATTTTTCAAAACTTTCAAACAACATTTTGCAGTGAAAACTCCATAAATGGAAGCCACCTTAAATTGTTCTTGTAAGTAGGAAGAATGTAAATCATTAATAATAATAGCCAGGTTTAGAATAACATCCATTTAGCTAGCCAAGTTGTCTTACTAATTTCTGCCAGTTTACTTACCCAAATGCAACGCTTCCTGGTACCTCTTGGTATCAAAGTACAAAGACACCAGTCTTGCCTAGGAAAGAGAAAAAGCATTGATTGAAGGGAAAGGCAAAAAAAAAGAAAAGAAAGAAATCAAAGATTGACAGTCACACAGTCACAGAACTATTCCTGTTGAATATACATGTTCTGAGGATAACATCAAATCCAGCATAACAAATGACCCAGCCCCCCAGTACCATCTCCTATTCTGGCCAGTGACTGTTAATTTTACCATGTTGCTGCTTATTTTCCTGAGCCAAATAGTAAGTCTCTGAAAACTTTAACCAGAACAAGTCTAATAAGTGGGACCACTATCAATCTCTTGGTGACTAGTAGTAATACAAAGTTGTTGGAAATGCTTTTGATCGAGACAGTGTTATTTCTACTCACAATCTAATGCCTAGACATAAAATTAGTACTAATATTGCCCACATACCTCCAAAGCTTGGCGTAAGAAAGTTCTTTTCTCTGATTTGGCCCATTCAATGCATTCTAAACACAGCTCAACCTGCAACAAGGAGATAGTACATGCATGATTGTTTTATCACATTCTGCCCACAACCATGCTCTGGAGAATGGAACAGCTCTAATTCCTTCCTTAGGTAATATGCACACCACTCTTTAGTACAGACTCGCAATGAGTAATGGTTATACCATAATGGACAATCAATTTGGCTTTATACACATAACATCTTTTTGTGTTTAAATTGTTCTCTTTAAGATTCTTGTAGCTTCCCAAGAGATACCCAGAACTGCCCAAAACATAAATAGCCATAAGTTATGTACTTCTGGGGGCTTAGTAATTCTTAAAGCAGAAATTTCTCCTTGAATAGCTGGAACTAGTAATGTTAATGTGTTACTGTGAATACCCTGGTAATAAGGGGAAGAAACCCTCAATCTAAGCAGAAAACACCTTCTTCCTAACAACAGTTGTTTGCAAGACTCAAAAGCTCCAGCTGCTTCTTTCCAAATTCATCATCACTCTAACAGCAAACAGTTGCAGTAAACTTAGCTTGTATTAAAGGGAGTAAAAAGAAATTACAATTAACCTAACATTTAAAAGGGCTTCTTAGCCGGATGTGGTGGCGCACACCTATAATCCCAGCACTCGGGAGGCTGAGGCAGGAGGATCGCTGTGAGTTTGAGACCAGCCTGGGCTACACAGTGAGTTCCAGGTCAGTCTCAACTACATAGTCAGACCCTGTCTCAAAAAAAAGGGCTTCTAGGGCCGGGGATTTAGCTCAGTGGTTCGGGGGCCTGCCTTGCAAGCACAAGGACCAGAGTTCAATCCCCAGTACCAAAAAAAAAGGGGCTTCTAAACTTTATTTATAGAATTTAGAACACCTATTTCTATGTGCCACCCAAACAGTAATGTAAGGTACAAAGTAAATGATAGAAAGCAGTGCTCTAGCTGGGCAAGGTGGGACATACTTGTAATCCCAGCACTTAAGAGGATGAGGCAGAAGGATAGCTGTGAATTCGAGACCAGCTGAGGGTCCACACTAAGTTCTAGGCCAGGGTGAACTTTTCATAGCAAGACCTGTCTCACAAAATCAAAATATAAAAAATAAAAAGCAGTGTTCTATGCCAGACAGTGTATTATTAGCTTCAAGTACATATGAAGTACTGCAAATCCTGTATTACTTCCATTACCAGTAGTTTTGTATTAAACTTGGTAATCTCAGCATAAGAAAAGAAATTAAATGAGAAAGTGAGCTTTCCAGAGAACTAAGTGCTAACACAACAAGATTTTATGTAAATCCAAAGTTTTGTTAAGAGATTCTATAAAAAGAAAACTAGAGGGACATATCCAAACTGACAAGATCTTCTGCCTTTAGATCTTAAATTCAAGCTCAGTAAATAAATTACTGATGCCAGTAAATAAATTACTGGATGCCAGTTCATCGTATCTGCGTGATTTACCAGGAAGTCAGTGAAACATTGACTTCACTGGAGCCACCTGGTGGCCATCTAATCTCCAAACCTAAACTCAATTGAACTCAAAAATTCTACAAAAGATCTGTGATCGTTCACGATATGAATTGAACTGAAAATTTTTTGCTGAATATTTTTTTACTAAGAAAATATTTTAAGATGTTCTATGCACACATACCAACTCCCGAAAATGAATGCAATCGTTATATACTGCAAACATGTACTGATAAAAAAAATTTTTAATTAACTAAAAACAATATATATATATAAACATCTTGGGCCGGGGATTGAGCTCAGTGGTGTTGCCGCCTGACTCACGAGTGAAAAGCAAAAGATCCTGAATTCAATCCCCAGTATCAAAAAAAAAATCTTAAGTGCTACATGACTTGTGAAGCTAAGAAATGCCTGTCACAATTTTACCAAGTAAGCTTTTTCAAATCATACAAAAATGAATGGAACTTGGTACATCACCTGTATTGAGTTATATTTCAATGAATACTCTAAAAACTGCTAATGAAAAAAACACCAAATTCAACTCCAGATCTCACCCACCCTCATTTCCCTCATAGTCTAGATATTAAGTGACTTGTATAAGGTCACATTATCAGCTGCCAGTGGTCTTTCTACCTCAAAGTAACCTTAAATTGAGGTCTGCAGACATTCCTCCCAGAGCAAGATTTTTTTTTTTAACAAGTGAACTTGATATGTTTTATAGAAAACATAATTTGCATTAACTAGGATTGAAAATAATGAAACTAGCACCTCTGGTTCCAAGTAAAAGTTTTAAAGGCCAGTGAACCTGCTGCACAGCTATTTTGATTGAGAGACTTTGTGCTTTGTTAATGTTAACATAGTACTAATAAGAAAAGAAACCACTTCTTCTGGAGAAAGGTCCTGACTTGAATACAAAACCCTGATGTGGTCAAAATTAGATATTCAAGTGTTTTTTTTATTTTTTGTTTTTGGTACCAGGGATTGAATTTAGGACTTTGCACTTGCAAAGCAGGCATGGTGCCCACTGAGCCAAATCCCCAGCCCTAGATATTTAAGTTTTAAATCAGTACACTTACCTTTTTCTTTTTTCAAAGCTTAACAGAAAAAAATAACTGCAATTTCCAAGACTGAAATTCTCTAGCACATATCCCTTTTTCCCTCCACTGAGACAATTTGTGATTTAAGCTTTCTTAAAATGTGCTATTGCTTTAAAAAAAAATATGCTATTATTTTCAGTTGGGCTTTCCATAGGCAACTCCCTAGAGATCTCTGGAAGGAAAGGTGAATTCAGGAAGTTCAGTTACTACTTGGCAAGGGAGTGTTTTTCAGTCTTCTTTCAGTCCTCTTCACACCACTTTTCCACTTCCCTCGAGTTGCCAACCACCGCATCCTCAACCTGCCCACCACCCTGTACCCTCCATTCCACAGCACTCACTTCCTGGGCTCCAAATCCTAGCACTGCAAATGATCAGATCCTAACCTTAACTACAACATCTGTAGGAACAGATCAAGTTAAAGGTTCTTCTGCAGAAACATCTGAACTGTATGTAACTGGTCCTTAAATAGTAAAGATAAGGAAAATCCACTCCCTCACACTCTTGGTAACAAACTCTTTTAATAAAAATTCTACCTCTCTTAACAAATGATCTGAAACTTTCTATTCTGCCTCGGGTTTCAAGTGACAGTGATCCTCCACTTATAGCTTGTTTCTCCAAACTTTCCCATCACCCAAAGAATTTTTTTGATTTTTTTCTTTTTAGTACCCGGGATCAAACTCAGGACCTTGCACTTTCAAGGCAGGCAGCAGAACCACTGACCTAAATCCCTGGCCCATAAATTTCTTGTCTTTTTGGGGTTTTTTTTGGTATCAGTAATTGAACTCCAGACCTTGTGTTTGTGAGTCAGGTGGCCGCACCACTGAGCTAAATCCCAGGCCCCACCCAAAGAATTTTAAAAGAACCAAGAATGAAGACTGCTAGTGACTTAGCTCAGTGGTGCCACACCTGCCTGGCAAGCACAAGATCCAGAGTTCGATTCCCAGTACCAAGGGAAAATAAAAAATGAGGACTGTATTTGATTTTCCCAAATCAAAAACTTTAAGCACCTGGACAAAACACTGAGATGTAAGCACCCATGTTTGCAACTCTAGTCAACCAACTTTGATCTTAGCCTGGCGAAGTGGCACACACCTGTGATACCAATATTCAGAAGGCTAAGGCAGGAAGACAGACGCCAGGTGGAGGCCAGCCTGGGCTACACAGTAAGTTCAAGGTCAGCCCAGCAAGACTCTTAAGATATACTTAGATCTTATACTTAGATCAACATACTTAGATCTTAATTCAATAAAGTATTTTCTGAACATCTACCATGGAGGAGACATAATCCATACACTCCTTCAACAGACATTAGTTATGTAATTCCTTTGAAACAAACTACTAATGCCAGTAGTACAGCAGTGCAGAGACAAAATACCTATCATCGTGGAACTTTTATCTTAAATAAGACACATACAAAGAAGTAAAATAGCTGGGGATTTAGCTCAGTGGTTCTGCTGCCTTCCTCGCAAGCACAAGGTCCCAAGTTTGATCCCTGTTACCAAAAAAAAAAAAAAAAAAAAAAAGAAAAAGAAAAAAAAAAAAGAAAAAAAAAAAAAAAAAAAGAAGAAGAAGAAGTAAAATAAATATGAAGAAAAATAAAAAGAAGAGGTTGGGTGTTTCAGATAAAGTGAACAAAGAAGTTCTCTAAGGAAGTAAAATCTGAGCAAAGACTTGAAATAACATGAAGAAAAAAAAATTACACATTACAATCACACTAAAGCCAAGCATGGTAGCAGACACCTACAATCTCAGCACTCTGGAAGGCTGAGGCAGGAAACCATGAATTCAAGCCCAGCCTAGGCAACTCAATGACACTCTGTCTCAAAATTGGAAAGGGGGAGGAGTGAGGACAAGGGATGTAGCTCAGTGGGAAAGCCCTTAGCTTCAATCTCTAGTACTCTAGTAACACACACACACACACACACACACACACACCCCACCAAATGGATGGATACTGACATTGGCCATGCTGAGTATGAAATACACATGAAACAACTAGGATGATTCATAATTTACTCTCTAAAAAAGGTAGATAAACTACAATTCACAAAAATTAGCAAACGAATTCCCATTCAGAAGAGTTAAGACTCTTGCTCTTGACAAAAGCTAAAATTGCAAACAGAAAAACAGCCTTAACACTGAAGTAAAGTAACACTGATGACAAAAATGACACATTGCTGGAAAGTGCTTCTCTTTACTGTAGGAAAAGGAGGGCTACTACAAAAATGTAATTTGTAATGAACAATGGCAAGGGACAAACAGTTAATGGAGGGCCTAGCCAGACAGAGAGCCATATGACAAATGCTAGTTATACCCACTGAAGTCAGCTCCATGTTATAGAAAGAAACAAATTCTAGAGACTGCACTGTGCACAGGAACAGCTTAGATAACTAGTTTTTCTACCTAAAAAGTTCCAAGTAACATTTATTGGTCAGTTTCAAACATTAATTGGTCTGCCTTTTCAAGCTGTCCTACTTCAATCAAAAGATAGAGCCACTTCCATGAGTACAAAGTACAATTAAAAAAAAAGAAAGAGCTAGATAAGACTGCCAAATGTGGTGGTGCACACCTGTAATCTCAGTGCTCAGGAGACTGAGGCAGGAGAATCACTTCCAATTCAAGGCCTACACACACAGTGAGACCTGTCTCAAAAAACCAAATCAAGTACGGCAAGGTGGCGCATGCCTATAATCCCAGCACTTGGGAGCCTGAGGCAGGAGGATCGCTGTGAGTTAGAGACCAACCTGGGCTACATAGTGAGTTCCAGGTCAGTCTCAAGTACATAGTGAGACCCTGTCTCAAAACAAAACAAAACAAAACAAACAAACAAAAAAACCCCAATCAAAACAAAACAAAAAAACAATATCCAAATAAATCACTTTTTCTTTTACTCATAAATATAATTCTAATACTTTGGTTCAAAAGCCAGCCATCTAATATCATATTGGGGTAGGGTGCGACAGGGTCTTGCTGTGTAGTTCAGGCTGATCTTGAACTTACTATGTAAGTCTGGACTGGCCTTAAAACTTGACGCAATCCTGTCTCAGCCTACTGAGTGCTAGGATTATATGCATGCACTACCACACTTGGCAATATTGTCCCATTTTTTATCTATCATAAAACACAGATCAGTCAAAAACAAGTTAATCTGAAGACTGCTCTACAAATGAAATTTGTAACTGGGCTTTAAAGAATCATTAAAGCAAGAAACCATATTTAACAGAAGACACAATTCTAAGTAGGATCCACCTGGCCTGGGTTTCTGAAATTCCCTCGCTACTTACTATATCACAGAGGCCTTTCATATCTTTGACTAGTTTACCCACATTAGGCTACAGCAAATCATCAGACATTTCACCCAATAGCACTTCTAACACTTGCCTTCATACTGTTAGACATTTTATATATTTATTCCCTTCCTTCCTCATGAGAGCAGTGACTGATTTTACAACAGTATCCCTACTACCTATACCAGAATCTAACACACAGCAGGCATTCAATGTACTAATCAATATATGTATAGGAAACGCAACAACTATATTCCTATTACAGATTCAAGAATTTGTAAAATATTCTTGAATCTGACACTCTTTACACAATGATTTTTTATTTTGTTACATGTCTCCTTCTGAATTACATAAAATACACATCTGTGAAAGGATGGAAGAAATTCAGAGATTCCAGAGATGCACTATTCTGTACAGCTCAAGGTCCAGTTTGAACTTACAAAGAACATACATAAAAACATCAGTCACTTCCACACATGAGACACAATACATGGATGCCTCAATAAAGGCATGTAGGCAAGGTCCCGAGTTTGATCCCCAGTACCAAAAAAAAAACCATGCCCAGAAGGGATGCCACAAGACTTAATTAGTGCTCATGAGGAGCTTTGTGACACAAAATGAAAGATACCACAGACAGAAAATATTACAAAGGTGTGGCAATACAATACCTCAAAGACAAGAATCAGTTTGTGACCCTGATGTAATGAGGATCCCAGGGACCACTGACAATCTCCACTTACAAAGCAAATCATGGAACAGATCCAAAGTATCAAATGTCCTGTAACATGTCCTGACATGATAAGTTCTAAGCGTCTTCCCAGCTACTGCTCCCACAGCATTACAGAGAAGTCATTTCTCTCACTGAAACTGAATTTTTTCCTTATCATTTATTGCCATTAACATAGCTTACCTCCTGCCCTGTAGCTGCTTCCATATCAAGAAACAGATCAAGAAGCGATCGGACCAGGCGGGCAGCTTTAGCCTTACTGATAGAATTCAAGAAGGGTCGTACATACTTCAGGAGTCCTCCAAGCTCTGTATAGAAGGCAATTCAATAAAGAAAAAGTAAACATCGATTAGAGGCAAAAATACTCCTTTAAAAAAAAAAAAAAGGGTGGGGCCAGAGATTTAGCTCAGTGGTAAAAAAAAAAAAAAAAAAAAAAAAAAAAACAGGTGTAGCTGGGCATGGGAGTGCATTCCTATAATCCCAGCACTTGGGAGGCTAAAACAGAAGGTTTGCCAAGAGTTTGAAGCCACCCTGGGCTACATAGTGAGTTCAAGTCAGCCTAAAAAACTACATAGCAAGAATTTGTTAAAAGCAAAACAAAACAAACAGCTGTGTGCAGCGGCACACATGTCACTTTAGCCTAGCTACTCGGAACTACATGGAGGCCAGCTTGAGCAACTTAGCGAGACCCAGTCTTGATATGAAATAAAAGCGTTAGAGGTATATATAGTTCAGGGGTAGAACACTTGCCAAGCATGTGCAAGGCCCTGAGTTCAATCACTAGTACAATTTTGAAAAAATATACAAAACAGTAATCTAATCCTAACAGAAGCAGAAAGAAGTAATAAATATTAGGTCAGAAAGTAATAGATTAAAAAAACAACAGGAAAAACCACATAGCAACCCAAAATAATACAAATCAATATCTACATCACTGGAGTCAATCTAAATGAAACTTACTAGGCGTTTAAAACATACCTACCAGGTAATACAGTAGCAAAACTAAGTTAACATCAGCTGGGCATGGTGGCACATGCCTGTAATCCAGCACTTGGGAGATTGAGGAAACAGTATCCCAAGTTCAACCCTAGCCTGGGCAATTTAGAACTGTCTAAAAATTTTTAAATAATTTTTTTAAAAGGGTTGGGGATGTAGCTCAATGCAAAAGCCCTGGGTTCAATCCCTAGTACCACCACCCTCCTTCAAAAAAGCTAAACATGGGGCCGAGGATTTAGCTCACCGGTTTGGTGGCCTGCCTTGCAAGCGCAAGGACCCGAATTCAATCCCCAGTACCAAAAAAAAAAGCTAAACATTTTTAGAACAAGAAATATGCTGTCCTCTGCCTACCTGCGACAAAATCACTTCCTTACAACCAACAGAGATGATTGTGTTATAGGAGTAATTTTTTAAAAACTACCAAGTTGGCCTCAGCAGTTCTCCTTAAGTCAACAGAAAGATTTTCAAATCCAGGTTTCCTTCCTCCTTTCTCAAAGTAATCCCAGGGTAGCCTTTCAGCAATAATCACTTCCTTGACATGTTTCTGAGTAAGCTTTTCCATAAAGAAATCAGGGTGTTTGAGTTAATTTTACTACACCCTTTAAAAATTTCCCATTAAGAAACTGGACATAGTGGCAGTATTATTTCAGTATTCAGGAGGCTGAGGGAAAAGGATCACCACAAATTCAAGTCTAACCTTGCCTACAAGTGAGTCTGGGACCAGCCTAAAGCACATAGTGAAACCAACCCTATCTCAAAAGCACACAAAAAAAATTCCCAATTAATCTGCAAAACCTATGTCTTAAAACTATGACCAAAATAGGTGTCCACATAGTTTTCTTCCTCCATACAGACAAAAAGAGGACAGTACAGAACTCTGAGATAGTGTCTTTAGAAAGAGAAAAGCCAAGCACAGTGGCACATGCCTGTCATACCAGCATGCTCTGGGAGGCTGAACTACATAGAAACCCTGTCTCAATCAATCAATAAAGGCTAAAGTTATGGCTCAGGGCTAGGGGTTTAGCTCAGTGGTTCTGCCGCCTGCCTTGTAAGCACAAGAGTCTGAGTTCAATCCCTGGTACCAAAAAAAAAAAAAAAAATAAAAAAAAAAAAAAAAAAAAAAAAAAAAGATATGGCTCAGTGCAAAGGTACTGGATTCAAACCCCAAACCCACTAAAAAAAAACAGCATAAATTAATCATGCGCTTGTCAAATAATAAAAATTGGAGAATGTTTCAATTAAACGAAGACGTATTTCTGGAATGCAGGTTAAAATTACCTTAATGCCACCGTCTCTTTAATATTCTCCAACTGCAGACTTACTCTCCTGAGAACTCTAAATCAGGACAAGCAAACCTCACCCTCCTGAGAATGCTAACTCAGCATCTCGAATCCTCATCTTCTGAATAGTTAGAAGATGCAGAGGACTGTAAGGTACTAAGGGAACTCTGAAGAATGGAAAAGTTCCTCTCCTTCACTCCCCAGTTCTGCCTTTACTCCCAATGTTTAATATTTTCGCCCCACTGCCTCTCATTCACCACCAGACTACACTCCTACGTCTAAGCTACACCCGTGCCAAAATGCCATCTCAAGACGTCTATCTCTTTCATCTATGTAAACCTGAGGTCCAGTTAAAGATCCACTGAGTTTTCCACGCTAACTCCAGTCTACAGTGATCTCTCCTCAAATTCCTTTGTACATTTATGTAAATTTTAATTATATAATCATAGTTTTCTATTTTCTTTATTTATTTTGAGGTGCTAAGGATGGAACCAACTTAGGCAAGTATTCTAACCACTGAGCTACCTCCCCAGCCCATCAAAGCTGTTTTTTTGTTTGTTTGGTTTTTGAAACAGGGTCTTGCTAGTAGTTCAGTCTGGCCTTAAACTCACTATGAAACCCAGGCTCGGCTTAAACTCATGGCAATCCTCCTGCCTCAGTCTCCCAAATGCTGGGATCACAGGCATGTACTACCATGCCCTGCTTCCATCGTAGCTTTTTAGGTATCTAGTACAATGTTCCTTCTCCCACAACATTTCCTATGTTTTAACAACTGTGAGTGATTTGTAGTGACAAAAAACATTAAGAAAGCATCCTCTTCCAATGTTGGTCAACTAAACTGTTCTTTCTTGAAACATAAATATCTCCTTCCACATATTAAAGGGAACTATCATTTATAAGTCTCTAACTTTCCCTTTCTCCAAATTAAATGTCTTTAGCTATTTGAATTACTCCTCCTATGTCATGATTTCTAGATTACTTATCCTCTCAAGTAACCTCCTCTAAACAAACTAATTTGTAAAGATTCTTGTGATATGTTGTGGTAACAGATTTGAAGAAAATGACCCAAAAAGAGTCTAATAGTAGGGTAGTAGGCTTAATTCTCCTGCTCTGGCTACCACATGTAACACAAGATAATGTTTGGCCTTTTCTAATAGTACTCTTTGTTCAGACTGCGTCCAATGAGGAGGTCTTTTTGGCATAGACTACCATGAAGACAGGTAACTCCCCATCTCCCTCTATTTAACTTACACTGAACACAACTGAATTTAATCTTGGCTTTGGCAGTAACTATGAATCTTAACTCCATTTTCTGCTATACTGAGTCACCTAAAAAATAAGAATGACTTCTGAAATGGCTTTAATGATGACACCAGATGCTGACCAGAAAAACAAGGACAAATCCCTATGACATGATACAGGTTGACAAATGATCCATTTGCTGGGAGTGGTGGCACACGCCTGTATTCCCAGCACTCAGAAGCTGAATTCAAGGCCAGCCTGGGCAACACAGAGAGTTCAAGGCTACCCTGAATTAGAGTGAGACCCTGTCTCAAAAAAAAGATCCATTTATTAAGTTATTCAGCCCATTGTAAATCCATTAACTTGTATCTGTTATATTATTATGGGAAGTGTCCAAATATCCTTACATCAAATACATAGTATATAACATTCCTCTATCCCACAAATTGGCAAATTTCTTCGGTGAAGGGTCAGATAGTAAATACTTTTGGCTGTACAGGTTATAGTCGCAGTGGGAGGTACTCAGCTAAGCCACTGCAGTACAACAGTCATAAACAATACGGAAATGAATAGTTCTGACCATGTTCAGTAAAACTTTGTGAAAATAAGTGACAAATTTACAGAGCTGAGTTTGAAATATTCTGTTCCTAATAAACCCACTGATTTAAATAAATGAAGTCTTCTAATCAAATAATCTGTCCCAGAACTTTACTGATTTCAATTTGTAGTGTCTAAATTAATTCATTTGCTTTCTGAAAGGTGGAGTAACATTTAACTATCCTCAGCTTTCTTTTACTCCATTTTATACTTCCTTTTATACTCTTCACATTTATACTTCCATCCTCCATTTTTTTAAAAAATAAGTGGCTTGCTGGGCGTGGTGGTGCACGCCTGTAATCCCAGCACTCAGGAGGCTGAGGCAGGAGGATCTCTGTGAGTTCAAGACTAGCCTGGGCTACATAGTGAGTGCCAGGTCAATCTGAACTACATAGTGAGACCCTGCCTCAAAAAAAAAAAAAATTTTTTTTTCTTCTGCTGAAATCATCCAAATCTCTGTTTTCATACATTGGCGTGGATAATTAAAAACAGTGCATAGTATGTATAGTGAGTACTTCAGTAATTTTATCCAAAGATGTTACTGTTTTACTTGAAATTCTAATTCATGTTCATTCTAGTCTTAATCCTTACCCTTCCTATCTTGTGACCTAATATTCGATTAGTTAAGAGTATACTACTAAACTTTTAGAATTTATTTTTTAAAACAATAATTTTTTTTTTTTTTTTTTTTTGCAATACTGGGGATCAAACTCACGACCTATGCTTACCAGGCACGTGTGGTGACACTGAGCTACATCCCTGGCCCACCTGTTGGGATTTAATAAATGAATTATAAGGGTTTTCAAAAAGCTTTGTTTTATTTATTTATTTATTTATTTATGGATGAGACAGGGTCTCACGCTGCAGTTCAGGCTGGCCTGAACTCACAGCAGTCCCGCCTCAGCCTCCCAAGTGATAGGATCACAGATGTGTACCACCACCCCCAGCTACCTTTTTGTTTTCCTCCTGCCTCCGCTTCCCAAATGCTGGGATTACAGGTGTGCACCACCATGCTCTGCTCAACAGAAAACTCTTAAATCAGTTCACCTGATTTTATAATTCTTTCAGGTTAAAAATTACCTGTATCAGTGACTGCAAACCTTTTAGAGCTCTCATTGTTACAAAGAGCCCACTTTGTAGGCCACAGGTTCACCACCACTGGGTTATGTATTACATGGATTATCAAAATTAATTTGGGACAGGCAAAAGTAATCAATAATATTAGTATATACAAACAAGGAGAAAGCCACCCGAGATTAAAAAAAAAAAAAAAATAAAAAACACCTACCACTGACAATCCATATGTGAATAAAAAAAGGAAAACAACAGCCATGTGAATGAGGCCAGGAGATCTAAAGTGGGATTTGTATGGGTTCAAATCTTGGCTCTACCAGTAATTAGCTGAGCTTGAATAGGTTAACTCTTCTGTGCTTAGTTCCCTCACGTGTAAAACAGAATAGTTCAAGGACCCAATATGCTAAAGCCTTTTTTTTTTTTTTGATATCAGGTATCAAACTTGGGACCTTGCACTTCTGAAACAGGTGGCGGCACTGCTGAGCTAAATCCCCAGCCCAACCTTATGTATGCTTAAAAGAATAGCTAATTCAGGGACGCAGATTTACTTCAGTGGTTGGTAGGTAGGTAGGTAGGTAGGAAGGCAGGCAGGCAGGCAGGCAGGCGAAAAGAAAAGAAAGAAAAAGAAAAAGAAAAAGAAAAAGAAAAAGAAAAAGAAAAAGAAAAAGAAAAAGAAAGGGATATAGCTAGCTCAGTGTGAGGGCCCTGGGTTCAATCCCCCAGTATCACACACACACAAAATAGTAAATAAAATAACTATACAAACACATTCTCAGGATTTCATACATCTTTACTCAACCTTCTATTGATCGAGCCAATAATTAGTTATCTTTAAGTATAAAAAATTTCTCAAATTCAAGTATTATGGAGTGCTACTCAGCCATAAAGAATGATAAACTAGGGGCTGGGGATTCAGCTCAGTGGTTCTGCCTCCTGCCTTGCAAACCACAAGGTATGGAGTTTAATCCCCGGCACCAAAGGAAAAAAAAAAAAAGCTACAGACATTTGAAGCTAAATGGGTGCATATCAAGGCCATACTCTTTTAAGTGAAATAAATAAGACACACATGTATAAATATTGAATTGTCTCTCGGATGTGAGAAACTGAAAGTGTAAATGAGGACTAAAATTTATAATACATAGTGTGAAATAGGAAGAAAAGGTTCACAGGGGAAGGAGAAATAGGAGGGGTAGAGGAAAAGATAGAAGGAAAAGAAAAAAATGAGAAAAAAAGGGTAAAAATAGAAACAAAGCATTTGTGGGGCTGGGGATTTAGCTCAGTGGTTCCGCCACCTGCCTTGCAAGCGCAAGGTCCCAAGTTTGATCCCTGGTACCAAATAAAAAAGGAAGCAAAGCTTTTATAAATAGGGAGGGGTGGAGGGGTGGAGGGGTAGAAGGGAGAGAAGAGCAATGGGAAAGAAAATAAGAACTAAGATATATCGGTACATGCACAAATTCCCAATGATGAATGTGATCATAATGTATACCTAAAATGTACCAATAAAGTTAATTAAAAAAAAAAGTTTTACTAGGTTATCCCCATCATTCCCTTGGATAACTACATAATTTGAGGGAAAGTAATTTATGAGACAATTACCAGATCTTAATCCATTCTAATCAAATAAACTCCATATTCACTTTAAAATTGATAAAAATCACCCACTTAAATTTTAAGCAAACTTCTCCAGCACTATCAACACTTTACTGGTCAAAGGCCCTTCCTAATCAAGAGGACTCTCTTCCTCATTCCAAGGATACATCCATTAACACTGTATCACCTGAAGCCTAGCCAGCCAATGGTCCAACTGAAACATGAATATTTGGACAACAATATAAACAAAGGCCTAGATACCAAGGGAAAATTTTTGGGAAGGCACCATTTAATATCTTACTCATTTGGTGTCAGGAAGAAAAAAAAAACAGTGACTCACTTGTTTACCCTAATCATTTTCTAATCAGGGGCCTTAAATACATCAAAACTGATCAGTGAAATCATCATAATAATTCTATGTATGTATGCGCCTGTATATAATGGAACATAATGAAAACTCAAAAACCAGACTATCTTCACAAAAACAGGATTTTCCCTCATGTGCAGAATAAAATTCTACCATAAAACAACTAAGTTTAAAGCCAGGTAAGGTAGTGCATGCCTGTAATCCCAGCACTCACAGGCTAAGGCAGGAGGATTGTCATGAGTTTAAGGCCAGCCTAAACTATATAGCAATATCCTATCTCAAATAAAAAACAAAACAACAACAATAAGAAGAACTTTAAGTTCAAAGGCCACTAAACTTCCTACTAAAAACTGAAGTTCAAAAACATAAAAACTGAGGGCTGGGGATTTAGCTCAGTGGTTCTGGTGCCTGCCTCACAAGCTCAAGGACCCTAGTTCAATCCCCAGTACCAAAAAAAAAAAAAAAAAAAAAAAAACATAAAAACTGAATTATTCCACAAATAAATTAGGTGTGGAGATGTGATCCCATGTTCCAAAATTAATTCCATTAACTAAAAGTGATAACTTCACTTGGCATTTCCGATACAATCCACTTATAGTACTTACCTGCAGCTTGTCCAGTCTTCGCCAGAAGAGACCCCAGTTCAAGGATGCTTTGCTCTTTGACCTGAACTGCTTCCTCATCATTTTCCTGAATGTCACGCTTCACTTGGGGGGCGGGGGGGAAGGGAATGAGAGCACTCTTAAATTTTGATTAAAAAAAAATTAAGGGAAAATTTATCCTCATAAGAGCCACTATGCATATTTACCAAAAGGAAAATTCTAAAACTTTTTTTATAAAATATTTCTAAATAAAAAAAGATAAACCAGGCACGAAGACACAATGAAATCCAGTACTGGGGAGGCTGAGACAGGAGGATCACCAGGAGTTCAAGGCCAGCCTGAGTGGAATCCAGCCTGAACTACATAGTAAGACCTGTCTCAAAAAAGCTAAAGGAATAAATAAATGTAAAATGATCGTATATATGTAGGATATACCCCACGTAAGTCATAAAAAACAAATTCCTCTGTGATTTAGTGTTTGCTTTTTTGAGTCTAATCATTAGAATTTCCCTAACCTACGGTCAGATTTCTGTTGTGATCACATGGTTAAAGCAAAATTAAAACAAGACCTTCATGGGCCAGGGATTTAGCTCAGTGGTTCTGCTGCCTGCCTTGCAAGCGCAAGGACCCGAGTTCGTTCCCCAGTACCAAAAAAACAAGACCTTCATACGTACATTGTGAAACCCCACACTAGTCACTATGTGGTCTAAACCTATAAAACATTCCTACGTGTTTACCTGCCATAAACCAAATGACCAAGCTATTGATGACTACTGCATCAAAAGCCTTGCAATAAACTAGGTCTTTGGGAAGCATCGACCAATGAGTGTGTTAGGGACAAAGTTCTATAAAGCTATTCCACAAAACAAGCTATCAAAATTCCAGTAATCTTTAATAGTTACACTCAGGAGAGACTGCCACTTAAAAGATTCAGATCCCATTAAAATAACTTTTTGCTATCTGTCCCTCTTTCAACTATGGAATATGCTCTTCCAAATATGGAAGAGCTTCTCCAAGTTTGTAGTGTTAGTGATCACCACTGGTCACTTCTCTTACAAAGCATCATGACTTGACAAAAACCAAGACTTTGATACTCCATGATGGAGTCTGGAAAAAGTAAGGCTGTGGATCATCATGACTCAAGCTTACTCTAACGGGGAAGCTTTTCAGGGGAAGCTTTCAAGCTAACTCTCTCCAAGTACAGTGCTCAAGCAAGAAATACTCTAATGGTAATGTTTAATTACAATTTGTACTTCCTGGGAGACAAAACATTAGGCACTAGCCCCCAAAAGATTAATTCATGTATCTCACATTGGCTCTAAATATGTGTGTACTCGCAGAATAAAACTACACACATAACTGCTACTCTAATGAATCCAGTTTTGTAATTGTAACTGAGTCAGGACAGGAACTCCGAAAAACAACACCCCTGACCATTAACAGTCCTTCAAAGATGGATCTATGTGACCCATCTCCTCTGCTCTATCTAGTACCCTAATAAGACAGCAAGAGGCCGTCATTTATCCTTTCTCTGTGCAAGAAGTTACAAAATTCAACAGATTAAATAAGCTAAAACCAACACTAACATCCTGTAAGTCCCACAAACACGTGCATTCTCATACTACTTGTTGATCCAAGTGGAATCTTCTCAAGGTACATTTAAAAGATCACATTACTCTAAGTGCAGTAAAGAGCTGGCCCGTGCCCTAATTGAACCCTTCATGACTGAACACTGTAAGCTCCTTATATATAAAAATTTATTTCTGTTCACACCTGAATCTCAGTAGAAAGCAAGGGGCTGGCGCTCCCACTTCAACTTTCCTGGCGTGTGCAGGTGTAACGCAACCATACCATAGTACTTAGAAAATTTTTCTTTCATTTTTTTCCCCTGGCAACGCACAGCCGGCCTGTTCCAGAGTTCCCTGAACTCTGTGGCTGACAACTCACTCGCTGAACTAACTTCCATCCCAGCCGCGGGAGACCGGGACGATTAGTCACCTCCTCAGAGCGGCGGTCCCACCCCGGCCGGCACGGCGCCCTCACACTCTACACCGAGCGGGGAACCATCCCGGCCACGGCCGCAACCAAATGCCAAAGTAAAGAGTGTGTCACCCCTCGACTCCCCACAGGAGGGAGAAGCCCTCCTTCACCGGACCCTTCAGCCGAGGGCTGGGAGAAGAAGCGGCTCCCAGCGAGCGTCCCGTGGAAGGAAACTCCAAAGCACAGCAAGCGCGAGCGCGCCCACCCCGGCACCCCGCACTGATAACAACGGCGGGAAAAGC